GAGAGAGAGAGAGAGAGAGAGAGAGAGAGAGATAACTGAATTTTATATATCTAACTATATGTTAAATGTAGGCCTGACTTGTTTTAATCCGATTGAACATTGTCTTTTCAGTCTGTAAAGAACGTTTCTTTTTTCATGGCACAGATTTTGGCATCATCACAGAAAAAAACAAAACAAAGGTGTAATTAATGACAATGGCAGCTCATTCCATTTGGTGAGCCGTTCCCGGGCCCTGTAAAAAGCTTTTTAACAGCGAACATTTTCACTTGTCATATCACAAGAAGTGCTGTCACTAATCACATTAACAATGGCTCAGTTCTATTCAAGTGTCCCAGTCAGCCTTGACAGGGTGACAGTGAGCCAACATGCACAATACCAGAACTTTGAAAGTGAGCTCAGTAAATGGAAGCCAGTGTAGGTAAAAGTTAGTAATCTGCTGAGGCACGACACATGAAAGAATGACTACTAACTTTAATGAAGTTTCAATTAAGCGTCGTGATAAGTCATTCCAAAGATCCAGCATGTGTACTCCCACAGTATATTCAGTAGTTACCTGTACTTGTACAACTATGACTTGCTGAAAAGGTCTTTTATTAGCTCCTAAGCTCAGCATGAGTGAATACATTGAGTTTTAAGAGCCATTATTATTTCCTATAGTCACACAAATGTAAGTACATGCTATGAGTCAGTAACTTGTAAAACCAACGTTTAGCACTATTAACTTGCAGTGATGGTTTTCTGTATGACTTTATCAGTCTTGATTTTATCAATCATTGGGGAGTAATTTTGGTCCATTCTTCTTTACAACATTACTTTAGTCCATCACAGCATTTCAGTCAGGTTAAGGTCTGGACTTTGACTTGGTGACTGCGACCCCTTCATTCTTTTCTTTTTCAGAGGTTCTGTTGTAGATTTGCTGCTGCATGACCTAATTACAGCCAAGCTTTAGCTGTCAGGACAGATGACCTAACGTGGAATACTTTGGTATAGAGTTCATGTTAACTAAGTGAGTGCTTCACTGAGTGCAGATCACGTGGCTGCACAACAAGCTCAAAAGACATCACCACTCCACCACTGTGCTTAACAGCTTAACAGGAGGTTCTTGTGCTGCTATGCTGGTGTTCAGTTTAAGGTAATTATACTCCATGTCATCTGTCCATTAGACACTGTTCCAGAAGTCTTGCAACTTTCTAAATCCAACCCATGCTACCATATTCTTTTTATAGACAAGGGACTTACTCCTTGAAACTCTTGCAAACATGCCGTACTTGTTCAGTCGTTTTCTAATTGTTCTGTCGTGAACTTTAATATTTAACATGCTCACTGTGGCCTGTAGAGTCTGAGATGTAAATCTTTGGGTTTGTTGCAGTTTCTCTGAGTATTGTACAACTTGGGGGTGAATTTGCTGGGAAGTCCACTCCTTTGGAAATACTGGCATTCTGTTAACACACTTAACACAATGCACCCATCTTCGTAGGACACGCATGCTTCAGACCAGTAAACTGCCAAAACTTCTGCCTTTATAGGCTTGCTTATCCTCTTACTTTCTATATAAAGAGTAGACGGAGCAAAAGTAGACTTAGTTTTTCTCAGAGCTACCTAAAGGCTTGTGAAATATCCATTTTTCATATGACTACAGACTTTCATTTACATAAGTAACAGCAGAAAGTCAGACACAGGGACGGGACAAGAGAGAATCTGGTCAATTTTCAAAATAAAAGACCCAGTACAAACTACATCTCTGCTTCAAGATGTTGCTGTTACGATTAAAGCCATGCCATGAACGGAACACAGCTGCACTGGAAACAACATTACAGACACTACATATTATATGGTTTTGTAATATATTACCTGAAAAGTAGCCATTACATATACTGACCAAGATCATGAACACAACACAAAATTCACTTTATTTAATTTACTTTAAATATAGTCAAAATCTACTTTTGTCTGTCATAGCAGGTAGGTCCACATATGCAATACCATATCTGGCTGGCATTGAACCAGTGACCCTCCATTTGCCAAGTGTATGTTACTATAACTATAACAGTAAGCCTTTTACTCACTCAACAGTCTAAGCAGCAGAAATAATTCTTCAGATCATTGGTGGATGCCACACTACATGCTTTGATCCTCTGTTGTGTTTTCAAACAGTGAGTCTCACATACTCTTCTCAGACAGTCTCCGGTAATTCTAGATAACCCTATGATCACATTACCTTCCCGTACTCTCCCGCCTGCAGCACAAGAGGCTCCTACTATCAGGAAATGTTTGAGTGTGTCAATTTATCACACTCTCTTTACTGTTACAACCGCTTCCACCACCAGACAGATACTGTGTCTCTTGTCTGGGTCGCTCTCTCTGCAACCTTCTCCATTTCAACAGGGCCCAATTTCCCTCCGCTCCACCCACCGCTGTCATGTTGTTACCAGAGAAAGCAAAAATACTGCTCATTATTGTACCACAATATGTG